CTTTTATCATTCATCTGTTAGCCGTATCTTTCATGAATTGAAATTTGATTCTAATTATTTCCTTAACTTTTTGTTCAACTTTTGAAAAAATACTTTTTCATCACAAACTATTCTATTTTTTAAATGATAATTAACTGGTAAACGTAGCCAAGAGTCCACTAGGCACACAGCGTCAGAGGAGGGGTACAAAGAGCTGTTACAATACCTCTTGTGATTAAGGCGTGGAGCACTGGCTCACACCAGACCGTCAACCAAGACAGCGGGCTTTGAGTCTGTCTGGTTGTAGTCCTGGAACCGGCTGCAGAATCTGAGACGTAAGTGGTTAGTGAAGATTTGTTGACTCAAGGATTAAAGCTGCTGTTGTGTGAAGCTTTAGTGCTCAGGGTAGAAACAACCTAAGAGGCATAAAGAGTTACCCAGGGAACATTTATAGACACCTGCATGATAGGTTCTAGGTGGCAAGTACATAGAAGAATGGGATCCAGCCCCTGTTCTTAAGGAAGCAAAGAAAAGGTATTATAATGCTATACTTGAGAGTCAAAACTGTTGTTAACACTGAAAAGAGTCCAGTAAGGGATCCAGATTCAAGATATATAAATAAAAATCAATTTTGTATATGCAATAAAAATACTTAGGAAAAAAATCTATTAAGAAATATATAAAAAGAAAATGCTGTCTATAGATAGAAATTTACTCGCTTATAGAAGTTCATAGTCCCCAGAAGTAAAAATTTAATTTTCAAATCTTGATTGAATTAAGTCAGAAGTTCATCTTGAAGGACAAATGACTGGGAATGGCTTTTTTGAAGAGTGCCTGTCCTAGTAGATACGAAATATTAGTAAAATTAAAACAACCTTGGCCTGGGATAGGAGTAGACACCTCAGCTGAGAGGCAGAGACATAGATGGAAGAAAGCAGTCCTGACCAGTCTTCAGTCTTGACCCTGCAGCCCTCACCGCACACCACCACAGACTCCTCAGCACAGTCTCCTCAGCGCACACCGCCACAGTCTCCTCAGTGCACACAGTCTCCTCAGTGCACACCGCCGCAGTCTCCTCAGCGCACACAGTCTCCTCAGTGCACACCACCACAGTCTCCTCAGCGCGCAGTCTCCTCAGCGCGCAGTCTCCTCAGCGCACACCACCGCAGTCTCCTCAGCGCACACCACCGCAGTCTCCTCAGCGCAGTCTCCTCAGCGCGCAGTCTCCTTAGCGCACAGTCTCCTCAGCGCACACCACCACAGTCTCCTCAGCGCGCAGTCTCCTCAGTGCACACAGTCTCCTCAGCACACACCACCACAGTCTCCTCAGTGCGCACAGTCTCCTCAGCACACACCACCACAGTCTCCTCAGCGCGCACAGTCTCCTCAGTGCACACCACCACAGTCTCCTCAGCGCGCACAGTCTCCTCAGCACACACCACCACAGTCTCCTCAGCGCGCACAGTCTCCTCAGCACACACCACCACAGTCTCCTCAGCGCGCACAGTCTCCTCAGCGCGCACCACCGCAGTCTCCTCAGCACACACTGCCGCAGTCTCCTCAGCGTGCACAGTCTCGATCAGTGCACACCGCCGCAGTCTCCTCAGCGCGCAGTCTCCTCAGCGCACAGCTCCTCAGCGCACACCACCACAGTCTCCTTTAATTACCCTTCTTGTAGCTCTTCATGCAGCCCAGGTCCTACTGCCGTTTCAGTTTCCTTCTGTTGCTTCCCTGTGATTCTCCTGCGTCCCTGTTTCCTGAACATATGGGGAGGTTTAGTGCTCGTCTCTCCCTACTTTTTATTTTTAAAATCTTGTCACTGGGAGATTATATCTATTCTTAATAGTCTCAGATCCCTCTTTTACATTGGGAAGTCTTCAGTCCCTCTTCTTGGTGCCGTGACAGGGAAATAGAGCTTGCCAGAGTTCTACATGGCAGGGGCCCCCAGCCCAACTGAGAGGAGCACGCCGTGCTGCTGGAAGAAAGCTGCGTGCGTGTTGCGGTCTGAAGGGTGGAGTGGGCGTCGGTCAGGTGACAGTAGAGGGCGGGTCGGGGCCCGGCAGTAGTGCTCTGGGCAGAGGAACGGGCTGTGTAAGGCTCAGAGGGCTTTTATGTCAGGCCAACAAGCTGTGGCCCATGAGCCTTGATCCACCATCTGCCTTTGCTAATAAAGTTTGATTGGAACACAGCCGCACTTACTCACTTACATATTGTCTAGGCTCCTTTTATGATACAAAGGCAAGTTAAGAAGTTGTAACAGAGACCATCTGTCCTGCAAAGTTTAAAGTATTTACCATCTGGCCCTTTAAGAAAACACTTGCCAATCCCTGCTTTTCATAAGAGGAGATGCCAGAAGTACTATAATTTTAGAAGCTGTATTACTTAAAATACTCTGATTTTTCCCCCCCAAAGAAACACCTACCCCTCAGAGGAAAGGCCTTCGATCAAGTGCGTTGCGACCAAAGAGACCAGAAACGCCCAAGCAAACTGGCCCTGTTATTATCGAAACCTGGGTCGCAGAGGAAGAATTGGAATTATGGGAGATCAGGGCGTTTGCTGAGAGGTAAGGAAACAGCTAACGTGTGATCAGGTATTTGAAGATTCTCAGCACTTCCGAATTGAAGAATTACCCCTCTAATAGCTTATTCAGTACGTCCTAATTTTACTCCCACCTTTTTGCTACCTGTGCATTGTTTATTAAGGGTCCTGTTTTCTAATTTTTAACAGTTATTATCCACTTCTCAGTTTCTAATTATCTTAATTTGAATGTTTTATTTTTACATCAAAATAATTTTATACTTTTTGCATGATTTGAAACTTAACCAGATTTCCCTTAATATTAGATTGCTGATGCCTGATGGGGTACAGGCATACTTATGCTATTGCACTTTGCTGACAACTGTGTTTTTTTATAACCTGAAGTTTTGTGGCATAGCTGCATTGAGCAAGTCTGTCGGTGCCATTTTCCCGACAGCATTTGCTCAGTTTGTGTTTCTGAATCACATTTTGGTAGTTCTCACAGTATTTCAGATTTTTTCGTTGTTATTATATTTGTTATGATGAACTGTGATCAGTGATCTTGGGTGTTACTGCTACAACTCACTGAAGGCTCAGATAATTGTTAGGGTTTTTTAGCAATAAAATATTTTTTAATAGAAGGATATACGTTATTTTTTTTAGACATGATGCTGTTGCACACTTAATAGACTACACTGTAGCCTAAACATAACTTTTATATGCACTGGGAAACCAAAAAATCAGTGACTCGCTTTATTGTAATATTTGCTTTATTGCAGTAGTCTGGAACGAAACCCACAATATCTCTGTGATATTCCTATGGTTTCTGATAAGTTCCTCTTTTTTTTCCCTACAGGGTGGAGAAAGAAAAGGCACAAGCAGTTGAGCAACAGGCTAAGGTTAGTGAACAGAAGAAGGCAGAGGACTTCAAGGCCCAAATGGAGGCTCACCTCAAACAGCAGCGATTGGCTGCCCAGCAGGTGGGGGAGTTGGTACCAGTCCCCCCTGGCAATGAATTGACATCTTTAGCCAAAATCATGCACACTAAAAGCACAGTAATTGTATATTCCTATGGTTTTATTTTTAAATGTATCTCACATATATCTTAATTTTAGTACTTGAAAATAACTTGGGATATACCAAGCTGCGGTTTTGCAAAAAGTGTACGTATTAAAAGAACAATGTTTGAAATATGATTTCTCTTACTATTTTTCTAGTTCAGTGACTAGTTTCTAAAGATAATTTTTTCCTGCAAAATTCTAATCCATAAACCTCTGTAGTGTGTGAAAAAGCCAATTGTACTAAAACTATAAGAGTTTGTTGTAATTCGTGATCATCAAACTGCTGTGGTTTCTTAATAATTCAATACTATGATATACCATGTGTGCCTGACTATTTAGGGACCCATAAGAGATAATTACTCCTTCATTCATTAAAAAGTTACTGTAAAAGTTTTTAGCCAAACTTGCATATATGTATATAAATTTTCAGGATATAAATAAAATAGAAATAGATAAAATAGATATCATTAACTTAGTTATACATAACTGCTTAAAAATTAGATATTATATAAATAAATCAAACTCATCATTGCAAACGTCCTTTTTTCCCTCACATTGTATGAAATATTTTTTCAAGTTCTTATATATCTTTTACAGTGGTCCACTATAGGGGATTGTCTTGATTTAATCAAAATTTGATATAACAGCCTTTTCGAGTTTAGTCACGTCTGTCTGTCTATTCATAGAAAGACTGGCCAGCTGTTTTTCAATTTGTGGATGTGGTTTGTCATTCCACAAAGTAACCTAAGGTTTTACTTTGCAGGGGAGAGGGGAAGGGTGGTCAGTTTCTTTAAGCTGATAATGAGCTTTTTCTCTGGCAGCTGAAAGTCAGGACCTGAACTTGGTGCATTAACCCTCTAAGTCCCCCTAGAGCGTTATGTTCTCTGCTTTTCCGATGTGTGTCAGTTTCTGAGGTGATGGCCATACGTCCTGGATGTAGCCTGATTCGTTAGAAGCAGGATATGCCTAATTTATACATTACTTCACAATTTTTGTTTTTAATGACACAAGTCAATCTTCATTTTAATATGCTTTCCAAATTTAGCAATGAAGATGATCAAAACTTTTTTTTCTGGCACAAAATTTGAGAAATAATGACAGCTAGAGTGTAATGACCAACTTGCCTTTTTGAACTTGTGCACAAACCCAGCAGATCCTGTTTAAATGCCAAATCTGTGATTTGGTTTTTCCCCCTTATATTTTTTATTATTTAAAAAAACTTTTATACAGTTTTTAAAAGTTACTAAACTCCATTTAGTTATTACAAAATATTGGTTCCATTCCCCATGTAACCCATTTAAATTTCTTTAAAAAGCTTACTTACAAAGGTAGTTATTTCCAATTTTTGAAGGCATATCCCCAGAAAATAACTACTAAATATGTGTTTAGTTTTCTTCCTGCCTTTTTTCTTTTAACTGACTCAATCAGTTGGTATTTCTAAGTATTCAAAACTAAACTCCTATTCTTCTGAGGAATGAGAAATTATGTAAAATACTTCACACTATTTTCAGGCATAGGGAACATGTACAAAAGTAACAATAAAAAGACTGGGTGTGTGATGTCTTTGGTGAGCAGTTTCCGACGGCAAGAAATAGTTCAGCATTGGAATTTGATCTTCGTGTACATCTCAGCTCCACCATTTTCTGCCTCTATGGCCTTGGGCCTCTTACACAGCCTTTCCGGGTCTCAGTTTCCTCGTCTTTAAATCACAGTACCAGCAACTTCCTTGGGTTGGTCCGAGCATAATAATGAAGGTGAAGCATCTACCACCAGGTTTGCAGACAGTGCTACCTATAGTTTTTACGTGTGTAAACTTAAACCGTCACGTTGATAAGCTGTCAGGAAAAGGTGGCAAACTATGGGAGAAGATACATAAATTGTCTTTGATAACCTCGTAGTCTGAAAGATCAGATGTTACTACTCTGTATAAAATAATCTGAAGGATTTTTCTGTAAAAATGTTTGAACTGAAAAACCCAAGTCTAGAAAAGCTATTTATAATTTTTAGCTTGGTTGATTGCAGGTTTTTGTCAGTTTGGAATAGTGATATTTAAATGCTGACGTGTTCTTTATGATTGGATGGATTAACATTATGGTAAGACAGAATTCTTTTACAGGTGCCATCATTGCTGTCTGTTCTAAACCCAACTGCTGAATAGCAAGGTGTCCTTGTCTCCTGTAAGATCACCCATGTCTCTTATATTTTCAGTCTGAAAGTTTAGACCTTTGCACAGACTGGAAAAACTTGATCATTTCAAAATTTTTGATACGAAAAACTTACTACTTTGAATAAAATATATGTGATTTAAGAGTCAAAAAAGTATTGCCTTCATCAGGAAATTAAATCAAATGTAAATATATATGGGCGTGTTTTCAGAGTAAAATACTTTAGAATTTTGGTGCAGTTTCTTGGATTGGGAGGAATTGTGGCTGGACTTCCTGCAGAGTGATATTTTTATTTAGAATGATTTTGGTTCATGATTTCTCTCCCTGACTTTTCTAGAAACGATTGGAACAACAGAAGCCTACAGTCATTGCAGCTTCCACTACTTCCCCAACAAGCAGTACAACTAGTACCATCTCTCCAGCACAGAAAGTTATGGTAGCCCCCATAAGTGGCTCAGTTACAACTGGAACTAAAATGGTACTAACTACTAAAGTTGGATCTCCAGCTACAGTAACATTCCAGCAGAACAAGAACTTCCATCAGACCTTTGCTACCTGGGTTAAGCAAGGCCAGTCAAATTCAGGTACACGACTGTGAATAAATAAAAGATGGCTTTCATTCAAGAAAAAGAAATTTCAGTCCTTTACCTACTGAAATGAAATGTTTCTTTAGAAAACTGTTTTTCTTCTGCAGCTGATTGAACAAACTGTAACAGTTGGTTTGTTACAGATATATTCATAATATTACATCAGTGAAGCTCCTCTCTTACATTATTTCACTTTCAACATTTACATAGTTCACTTACGTTGAGTGGAGAGGAATGTTTTTCTTAAAAATACAAAATGAGCCACATTTCATGCATTGGTGCCTTCCTAGAAGTCACTACGTTGCTGGTTATTTTAAATCTAAAGCTTATTAAATGTCTTATACCCCATTAGCCACCAGCACAGCTGCCACATCTGCTACAACCATTGCCAGCACAGGTCAGACGTTCCAAATTACAGGCAATCCAGTCACTATGGCAGGAAAAGTAATTACCAAACTGCCACTTCCTGCAAACAGCAAGATTGTCGCTGTAAATGTGCCAGCAACGCAAGGAGGTAAGGGAAATGTGAAGAGTTTTAATTCACATTTGCCAGATCATACTGTCGCCATTATTTTTCATTTCCTTTTCACTGATTTCAGCCCTTGGATCTCACATTTTATGTAGCCCACTATAAACCCCCGCCACACCTAGTTTCTCCTCAGAAACCAAGCACCACCTGATGCTTTCATTAAAGGGGCCGTTGTTAATTACTTCTTCATCTTCTTTGAAGGCGTTGTTCAAGTGCAGCAGAAAGTCCTGGGTATCATTCCATCGAGTACAGGTACAAGTCAGCAAACTTTTACTTCATTCCAGCCCAGGACGGCGACGGTCACAATTAGGCCCAACACCCCGGGCTCTGGAGGAACAGCAGGCACTTCACAAGTAAGAATTCTTGACAGGTTTGTTTGGCGTCAACCACATCGGGTGGAAGTTGTTATTTAGTGACCTCTTCCAGGATTAATATAACTTCTAATTTGTCTTTGCCTTTTACTTAATCTGTGACAAAGTACTGATTTTTTAAAAGTTTGTTAGTAATATTTCTAATGAACTGTTAATTTTTAACATCTAGTTAATAGCACATTAGTGTAGTTTATGAGTCGTAGGAATTGCTCTCCAGGATTTGATGAAGAAGATTCCTTTATTGAAAACAATGGTCAGCACTGGACCACCTGGGGAAATATGCTGTGCAGCTAAGAAAGAATGGAAAATACAGACCCCAGCACTGTGACCGGCCTGTCAGGCGACATGCACACATGGGAGACACAGAATTTCTTTGGCACTAGTGTCATGGAAAAGGTTTAAAGTGCTTAGACTTGAGAATGTTCTAAAGGAACACTCAGATATGCTCTGTGGTCTCTCCTTTAAACCGTGAAGGAACTTCTGGCTTCTTCTGATCTTGCTCTTACATTCTCTGGGTTACAGATGGGATTGGAACTCAGGGAAACAGGGCTCAACACTTTCCTGTGAGCAGCTGCGGTGGTTGTAGAGCAGACCTTTGCCAGGTCTTGTTCCTTCTTTTTCGTGTGTAGGCTCTTGGTATTAGTCATGGGGAATTTTGTGTGATCTCATTTGAATTACATTCTTCTCTTCCTTCAAAATTCTATCTTTGTTCTGATGCTTAATATAATTTAAAATGTAATGTCCAAGAGCTTCTTTCATTTCTCTGGGCATGTGTATCAGTATAGAATGTTTAAAGATCTGTGTTCTAAGTCTATCATGCTTTAATCTTTTAAAAACATTTTAATTCATTGTCCTTCAGGTAATCACAGGGCCTCAGATCCGCCCTGGTATGACGGTGATTAGGACGCCACTCCAGCAGTCAACACTAGGAAAGGCAATTATTCGAACACCTGTGATGGTACAGCCAGGTATTCCTCTATCCAGTATTATTTTGCATGGAGACAGCCAGTCCAGGAGATCTGTAGTACTCTGTATTTGGCACTGTACATACTAGAAAATACCAATATGAATTATGACTTCAAAGCAAACTAAATTTCTAATCCAACATGGGATGCTTCCATAGAGTCTGTTTCATTTCTGGCATTGTCAGTAAGAGAAAGACAGATCCAAGTATGCTTATCAAAAATGTTTTTAAAACCTCTAGTAAATGTAATATATACGTTGAAATCATTGAAGTAAAGAGAACGAGCAAAGAAAAACAGTCTGTGTGGCAAAAGACAGAGAGAAAATCAAGGAAACAGCTAAGAAGCATTTAAGTGGAAACCATAAAACAAGATTACAAAGGCAACGCCTGCCCTTCATTAATGTAAATAAGTTAAAGCTTCCATATTAAAAGTTGGAGCCTGTAAAGATTGGGTGGAAAAAAAAAACTAGCTGTACATTTATGATAAACATACCTAAAAGCAAATTACCACAGAAGATTAAAAAATAAAAAGATAGTCAAAGATACATGAAACGACAAAAAAAGAAGGAAAGATATAACTCAATAAGATTAAATAAATAAATAAGAAGGAAAGAAAGGAGGCAGAGGGAAGACATGGAAAACAGTCCTACTAATAACTGGACAGAGTTGAATTCAGTGTTTGAAAAACAGTAACTAGGACAAAGAGGGTCATTTTCTTTTGTTTTGTTTTGTTGGAGGGGCAGGGGTAGGTAATTAGGTTTACTTATTTATTTATTTTTTAGAGGAAGCATTGGGGATTGAACCCAGGACCTTGTGCATGCTAAGCATGCGCTCTACCACTTGAGCTATACCCTCCCCCAAGGGGGTCATTTTCTATTGGCTTAAAGATAAAGATTGTGATGAAGATGCAGTCTTGGATCTTTAAATAAGATGTCATTGAAGTATATAAAGCAAAAGATATTTGAAATCAAGGAGGGGCTAACAGAAGCAGAAACAGATTGTATCAGCTTTGTACCTTTAACGAAACACATTAGTTTTAAATATTTATGAGCTGTTTGTATGAAAATGGTCATATAATGAGCCATAGGTAAAACCTTGATGAATTCCAAAAAGTAGAATGTGTATAAGCTACATTTTTTTGTAGTAAAGTTGGGAATTAATATTAAGATAATATACTAACTTTTACTGGCTTGGAACCCTAAAAATGTATGTTCTCAAAAGTAACTTTTATGTTAAAGAAACATCAAATGTATAATCATAAACAGTTAAACAGCAACTAAGCCATGCTGCAGAGCTGGACTGAGAGGCAGACTCATTCATTCAACAAATATTTGAGCACCTACTCTAAGCGGTTGAAACACACTGGTGAACAAAACAGAGGGAAAAACCCCACATTTTAAACCTTCATCAAAAGTTAGAAAAAAAATAAAAATCTCAAATGGAAACAGGAAGAAGGAAGTAAAATAAAAGTACAAGTAATGATTAGAAGACAGAAAAGGCAACTATTATTAAAATAAATCATTCTTTTGCAAGTTTAATCTTGAGGAAAGGGAACAAAATGCTAGCTTACAAAAAATTAGGAATGAGAAAATGCTATAAAGCCAGAATGAACTTTTTAAAATAGGAAATTATGAACAGGTATCCTTGCAGTAAGACATTGAGAATTCTCACTGTCCGTACTTAGGAACTAAGTCCATTCAAATGACAAGATATAATTATATACTGTGCTTAAAATTTTTTAAGTCTTCATGATGTATCAAGGAAAGAAATTTGGATAATTTCCATAGTATTACCTACAGAAAAGAATTCCACATCTCATGGTTTTTTATGGATAAAATTCTTTGACATGGTTAGGAAACTGTTTCCTTCTTATAAAAAAATAGTTTCAGGGCATAGAGGGAAGAAAAGACTAATTCTTTCCCATTCATTTTATAACTTTGGCATATAATATAAAACATAGTATCATATTTTTTTAATGCAATCTCCTAGTGTCTCAGCAAAATTTACCCCAGAAAAGAAAGTAGTATTCATTATTTCAGTTAATGCTGCAGGGACAGTTGATAAAATTCAGCATCTGTTCTCTGTTTTAAATAGCCGTTAGGGTATGGGGAAGGGTGTAGAGCGCATGCTTAGTATGCACGAGGTCCTGGGTTCAGTCCCTAGTACCTCCATTAAAAAATAGTAAATGGAAAAAAAATAATAAATGAACTAATGAACAAATGAACTAATTATTATTTTGGTTTCTTGAATATGTGTAAGCACACTTGACTGTCCTTTGTGATTGGGTTACCGCATTCTGTTGATTCTTATTTTGTAGTTGGCTTTATTCCTTTGAT